ATAGTGTTCCTATGAGTCGCAAGCTACTCGACGGCACATAACAACTAACAACAACAACATTGACTTGAAGCAACATAACAAAAACAACATCACTATTTTCATGTACAAGGCAAATATTGTTCAGATTGTCTGAAAAATGACTAGAAAAGTGCATTCACACAGAACTGCCCAGGGTACAGTCTCTGTTTAAAAGAGGCTGTGATACCAGGAATATCATTGCTGATGTCAGATGGATTTTAGTGGAAAACAGAGGGTTTGGAAGAATGTCCATTTGTATTTTATTGACTACACAAAGGTATTTGTGTGTGTCATAATAAACTATGGTTAACATTGGAAAGAATAGAAATTCTAGAGCACTTAATCATGATTATATAAAGTCTATACCTGTACTAAGAAGCTGTTGTCCAATGAATGTAAGGGAACACTGCATGGTTTAAAATCAGGGAAGGTGTGCATCAGCTGAGCCTGTATCCTGTCTCCATACCTATTCAATCCATATGCTAAGCAATTCATTGGAGAAATTGAACTTATGAAGAAGAGTGTAGCATCAGGATTAGAGGAAGACTCATCAGCAACCTTGCTTGCTGAAAGCAAAGAGGATTTGAGGATCTTGCTGCAGAGAATCAAAGACTGCAGCCTTCAATATGGATTACATCTCAACATCAAGAAGACAAAAAGTCTTCAACACTGAGTCAATAGGCAATATCATAATAAGTGGACAAGTCATTCAAATTGTCAACTATTTCTTCTTACTTGAATCCACAATCAATACCTTTGGTACCAGCAGTCAAGAGATCAAAAGATGCCCTGCACTGGGAAAGTGCTGTCAGGGATTCTCCAAACTCCTGAAGAGCACTGATGTCAGTTTATAGACTGAGGTACCTTATCAACACCTAGTCTTTCCAATGCCCTGCTATCCATTTAATAGCAGCACAATAAACAAGGACAACAAAAGAATTGATGCCTTTGAATTATGATGTTGGAGGAAAATGTTGACCAGCCCAAGGACTAGCAAAAAAAAAACAAAAAAACAAACCAGATATATCTTGGGCAAAGTGCAACCAGAGTGCTCCTTGAAGGCAAAGATGGTAACGCTTAATCTCACTTATTTGGGGTGTGTTGTTAGGAGAGGCTGTTTCTTTAAGATGAGCATTATTCTTGGAAGCATGAAGGGCCAGCAACATAGAGGAAGAATCTCAACAAGATGGATTGATATGAGGTCTGCAGCAATGGGCTCAAGAATGTCAGGGACAATATGTCACAATATAGGACAAGATTCAAGTCTATTGTTCATAGAGTTGCTGTGATTCCTACTTGACTCAATGACAATTAATAACAATATTTGTGGAATCACATTCTTTCTTCCACAGCATCCCTGGGTGCATTAAAACTGTTGTTTAGTAACTGACTGCAAATCAAGTTTGCATCATCAAGGGACTGTGAATGTTGTTAAAAACTCACTGCTGTCAAGTCAATTTCATCACCTTCTGAAGCAGTACACAAATTTTTTTGTTGTTGTTATTGTTGTTTTGGGATTTTATTTTGGGGGTGAGGGTTGTTTCTTTTCCTTGTTGTATACCATGGAATCAGAACCAATTGGCACAGGAGGAAATTGCCCCTTCTTCTCCAGCAGAGCATATGGTGGATTTGAACTGTGCGCCTCTGGGATTACAGTGCAACTTCTTGCCACTAGGCCACCAGAGCTCCGTTAGTATGTAAATTTTGATGGAAAAACACTGTCCAACATTCCTTCAGAAGAGGGCCAGCTGGAGTTAACTTCATTGTTAACAGCCTAACATACTATGCACTAAGCCACCAAGGCTCAAATTTAATGTCATTATTCCATGTTAAAATGACCTTGATGCATTTTTTTCTTTTTATTTTTTAAGATATGTTTGTTGCTATGTTTTAAATTATGTTTATTTTTAACATTCTTGTCAGCTTCAAAAATTCAGTAGATCAATTCTACTCTGTCATATAGATTTGCTATGACTCAAAATCTATTGAAGGAAACTAACACTAATGTGCAAGAACTAAGGGCTTTGACTTTTGACATTTTACGTAAATTAATCCTGCTAAGATTTTCTTCTTTGTTGCCACTGAGTCAGACCCTCCCATGAGTTTTTAAGGCTGTAAATCACACAACAGGGACAAAAGACTTCCCTGATGGACCCTTTTCTTGATTTTGAACCATGTAGTGTTTCCTTGCTCTGTTCTGATGACTGCCTCTTGGTCCAGGTACAGTTTTCACATTAGCACAATCAAATGTTCTGGGATTCCCATTCTTCTCAGAGTCAACCACAGCTTGTTGTGATCCACACAGTCAAAAGCCTTTGCATAGTCAATGAAGCACAGATAGACATTCTTCTGGTATTGTCTGCTTTCTGCCAAGATTCATCTAACATTAGCTATAATATCCATAGTACCACAACCTCTTCTAAATCCAGCCTGCACATCTGGCAGTTCTCTGTTGACATATTGGTCAAACGTTTTTTAATAGTTTTCAGCAGAATCTTGCTTGCATGTGATATTAATGATATTGTTTGATAATTTCTGCATTCTGATGGATCACCTTTCTTTGGAATGGGATCAAATATTGATCTTTTCCAGTCAGTGGGCCAGCTGGCTGTCCTCCAGATTTCTTGGCACAACTTAGTGAGCACGTCCAGGGCAGCATCTGTTTGTTGAAAGAAATCAATTGGTATGCAGTCAAC